TTTTTTGCTATTTTGATAATTTATCCCTAGATTACAAAGGCGTATTCTGACAGACTACTTTGGGTAAAAATAAAGGAATAGTCATTCTTACGATGAAACACTAAATTAAAAGATTTAACATGTATTATATGGAGTTACAAAATACACTTTAATGATTTTTGTAGATATATGTAAATGACTCTCACAGCAGGCAATTTCTTGGTGCTGTCTGCATATGGCTTTTGAGAAGCATTTGCAGAAGTACCTCGTCATGCGATCTTATTTATGATCGCCATTACCCCATTATGACTGCAAAATGTTTATAACCAAACTTAAATGATACAAGACGAGTTTGTGGTTACTATTAACATTTACATTAGCCAATACTGCGCCAAAAAGATCACTGACGTAACTACAAAGACGTAGTCTACTGGACGACGCGTGTTAAAATGATGTATTTCGGTAATGGAAGGAACGTTGTACGTGTTTCTATTTCACTGGCTAGTCACACTCAGAAGGTACACGGTTTCAGAAACGGGGAGTGTGGGGAAGGGGATAGGGGCAGCTTTCGGCACTAGTTGCAACATCTGACAGACGCCGCCTTCTTAATCTACGCTTAATAACTTAATATTACTAAATTTGCACGTTCATTAAAGCATAAAATGTTATATTCGATATTATATTGAAATAAAACAAATCGTTTTGATAGAATTCTCGGTTCAATATTTGTATTTAATGACAAAAGTATTATAATTTTATGTTAAATACTAGCCGAAGGATCTTCATAACATAGCAATATATAAAACTATTATACTAAGACTTAAAATATTACAAACATTTCCAAAATGTATTCTGAATTTTCAGTTTTTGAGTGTAAGTAGAGTACGTTGTTTTTTCGCAAAACGTCCGTGCGTCTATGAACAACACTAAACAGTACACACAACTTTCACTAAAAATGACATTCTTAGATCGATCTGGCTGATATTGCAACTCCTTGAATGGAATATGAAACGGTTCTTTTCCGTTTTTTGGAGTACTTTATACGAAGACTTAACGACATTTTCAAAAATTGTTCCAGTTTTTTCTTCAAGTTCCTTCTCGGATAGAGCAAATTATGCTTATATAAATTTTGAATAGATCCTTCTGGAGAATTTTACATAATTCCTTACATGCTAATCATTAATATTCACATACACCCAACAAGATATTGCTTGAAAAAAAGTCTATCAACCTGAGGTCGTTATTCCAGAAAATATTTTTAATACGAAAGATTTTTCTCTCAAAGGATGTTAAGATGATTACTACAATTCGTCACATTGAACTCTAACTTCACAGAGAGAGCTTGAAAAATAATCTGAACATATTTTTTTGAACAATTTCGTGTTCTTTGGGTTTCGGCTGTTTCTACGGACTCAAATTGGTCCGACGGATTTCCACAAAGAGATTGGCATGCGTGGTCCCCGGATACCGCGAAAGCGCTGCATGGCGATGCACGACTGGACGAGCGCGCATCGAGTGCGTGTGGCCCTGCCCGCCCTCCGCCCATGAACCCCAGCCTCGTGACCCTCGGCCCCATTTCACAGCGCCACCACGTGCGGGGAGTGGACGCGAGAGGGGCAAGCCCGAAGCGAGCGCACTTGAAGTTCAGTCGCTCAGCCCCAACTGTTGTGATTCAGCTAAAGTAATAATAACCTGGTTTTCCGAGCACGCGCGTCAGAAATGCAAAATTGGGTCATCTTTTATTTGACATTTATTAATAAGAGCGAGATAGATTAAAGTAAATGATACTTTTTCTTTTTGTGTTAAAAAAAACATCAGAGTGCGTAATGTACTATTAATGCTGATTAATTCTAATAACGTTTTATACAAAGAATTATCGCAATCAATGAATCTTTAGATGAATTTAGCATTACATTTCACTAAGTACAATATTTTCTTGATTAAGTGCATTTACACAAAAAAGCATAATAAAATAAGCCAAATTGTCGGCATTTGGATTTGCTCTGAAAGTGGCAGTGAGAAAGGCTATGCAGGGAACCGTCTGCCGGGCAGGGTCGCTGGATCGTCTTCCCCCTGCAGACAAACAGACTTCATGGCCTTCCGGGGTGCATGTTTTCATTTTCCACTTCTTGTGAATGGGACTTATTTAGAGCTTTCTGATTGGTCAGTGATGGCGGCGCACGAAAAGCAAATGTGAGCTGCAGGCTCGTTCTCGAAAAGGTATCTCTTGAAAATTCATT